GTTGCTTCCGATCTATAGCTTATGCAATTTAAATAATATTGCTTGGGGAACACGTGAGAATCCAAAAGGTTAAAATTAAAATTTTAAATTCCAATTATAAAATGTAATTTCGTCAAGAAAACTATTTCCTAATTACATCAATAATTAAATTCTCATACAAAATGATTGAAATAAGTTTAAAAAAGAAAATCAATAATCTATCCTAAAAATAAGGGAAAAAATAATAGCTAATTTTAGTGGAAGAAAAAGATCCTGAAAGACAAAAATATGGCAAGCATGTTGATCTAATTAGCAACAATGCTACCAATGAGGTTAACTTTTTTACAATCAAAAAAACAAAACGATCAAAGATCATTGCTAATTATTATTTGTCATCAAACGATTGTAATGTTATTTTTGAGCATAAAATGAATTTAAATGTTAAAAATTTTAACAAATTTAATTAAATAATTAGTTCTGTAATGTGTTACTTTCTTTTCTATGCTAATTTTTGTTATGCAATTTGAATAAAATTAGCAATAAATTAATATACGATAATTTTATCTTTCTTAAATATCTAAAATTTTTTTCTTCTTAACATTTATTCACTTTTCAATTGTTAATTATCAATTGCTAATTATTAATTAGTTGCTATTATTTTTATTTTTATTAAGCATAAATATTCAGTATGAAATATAAAGTGTAAAGTTTTTTTTTTTGCCAAATTCATTGAATGAAATTATTCGTTAATTATTAATTATTATTTCGTTTTAATTATGCTGAAAAATTATTAAAACTTTTACATAGATGAATGGTGAAATATCGATTGGTTGTGGACCAGCATGTCGTCTAATATGTTGTCTGAGGGATAAATCGACAGAAATAGCACAGGTATATCGATATAAGAATGATCGGGAATGAATTGGGAGAAAATTAAGAGATAAATTTAAAAGTTTAAAATTAATTTAAATTTCTAAAACTTTGCTAAAGATTTGGCAATTAAATGGAAAAATTAATGAAATGATGGATAAATTGGATCGAATTGGTTTGCAACCAACGGGAATACCAATGTCACCTCAAACATTTTATGTGACAACATCAGTAAACAATTCAGAATCATCAAAATGGAACAATAATTCAATTAAGGAAGATCAGGTAGAGCAAATGTTTTTTTCCTAATTAACATTAACTAATTAATTTTTATTTTAAAAATTAATTCATAAGATATTATTAGGGTTATTTCACTAATTAAGTGTAATATCAACTGATTCTATTCCTGTTCAATTAATCCATTAATCAAATCATTAATTACTAACAAGAAATGATTATTATATATTAATTTAATATGAACTTTTAAAATTTTTTTTAGGCGGAAATAGAAGATAATCGTGATATAACTAATCAATCAGCTGCCGCTATGCGTAATCGGAAATGGAATACAAAAATAAACGATATATGGTTAAATGATAAGTGTATTCGAGGAGCGGAAAAGGATTATTTGGATCCGGATGAGGAGATTTTCTGGAATGATGTTATCAGTAAATATTTAACACCAATTATTCATGATCAATTAGAGCAGCAAAATATCAAAACTGGTCTTAAGTTATTAAGAAATAAGGTTAGAATATATGGTTTAATTAAAATTTTGATTTTTTTTTTGATGAAAACTATTAGTAAATTCATTTCTTTACCTTTTTTTTTTGATTTAAAGGACAGGAGAGAGAGAGAGAGAGAGAAAGGTTGAAAGGTTTATGTTTTATTTTCGTTTTGTAAAACATATGGAGCTATGGAAACAGATAATAATATTACCTTTCTGTAAACCAATGATATTAATTAACCTATTACCAAATCAAAGACATATTTACCTTTCTAAGTCTGTGGCAAAAATAGTTGTGGCCATATTTTAACTTTTATTACATCTTAAACATATCTTTAAAACAAAAATATCTTAAAAATTAAATATTTTTTCTAATAAATTTTAAAATTTAAATTTTTAAAATTTTTAAAATAAATTTTGAAGTTTTCAAACCTTAACAATCTCTCATTTTTCTCTTTTACTTTTTAGGTGGAAAAATATTTTAAAAATTAAATTTAGAAATTTCTATTAATCATCGATCATTGAATAATTAAGATTTTAAAATTTTTAAACTTTAACAATCTTTCATTTTTCTTTTCTTTTTTTTCCCTCTCAGGTTTGCTCAGGATTTTTTATGGTAAATACGGTATTTATCATTATTGTCCTTCTGCTACAACTACAAAAAGATTGTATCCATATCGAATGGCCATTAGGTCCACGTTACAATCATACAATCATTCCGTGTAGTACGGATATTCGGAAACCAATTTGGGTGGTGACACGATTGCAATTGGAACCAATTGGATTAGTCTTCCTACTTTTTTTCATGTCTATTCTTATTATTCAGGTATTAATCCAAAAATAAATTTTCATTTTTTTTATATCAAATTTTTATTCATTTAATCATAATTTAACAAAAATTTACTATTTCAATTTTTTTTTTAAACTTTACTTTTATTCTTAATATAATATTTTTTCATTCATTTATTCTCTTTATAATTTTTTTTTTTTATCTTATATAATTTATTAATTCTATTTTGTTAGTTAAAATCTTTTTTTCTTTTTCTAAATTCAATATTTTACGTGAACTTTACGTGAACTTTTTTTTTGCAAATTTTGCAGTTCATAGGAATGTTATTACATCGTTTTGGTACTATGGCACATATAATTGCATCAACGCAATTATTTTGTTGGCGTAAACATACGGATCATTTAACGGAAGATGAATTAGTTGTACAAAATGCGGTTGAAATAGCACGTGAATTACAAGCAATCCGTGGTGTTGATGAACCCGATGAAAATGCTCAATCGGTATATTTTTCATTTTGAAATTTTATCATCTTTATGATAAATTATTTAATTAAAA